CCATCTCCGCGGTGTTTGTCCCGATCGATATTTTCATTTTGGGGCTGGCCACGTGGTGGTCGCTTTTATGCCAAAGTTTCTGTAACTGACCCTCCATCACCCGACGAGATATTATTTGCGTGTGCTGACGTATTGATCACATTCTGACCAATTAAGCTCCTCACCAGCGCCTTGAGACTTTTCTTTTGGCCAGAAGGAGATCGATACACTGGAACGTATAAATTACGTTTGTGAACGTGACGATCGTGTGCGGTGCTGGAGCGTTAATGACAGGAATATTGCCATAAAAAAAACTAACACCACGTGGCCCAACCAAATTTTTTTTATATTGCATTGGCGCCGAGAAGCTGAGGTTTTAAGTGTTAAGTCCTCTCGGCCCAGGTCATAATACTGCTAATCCATCACCAGCCTCGAGATCTTCAGCCGCCGTCCTTTATAGCGCTGTGCCCTGCGAAAGCTCACTTGACTTTTCTCGTGAATCAAGAAGACGTTTCTGATTTGTGTTCGTTCCCTGATCCACGTGCTTCTCCTCTTTCTAAGTGTGCACCCTGCTTCTTCGCACACTTTTCATCCTATTAAATCTTCTCTGGCAGTGTGGGTCTGGCTGATATAAACATCGTAGCTGGTGGTACGCCCTGCCTGAAATCATTCTTCTTCTCTGCCTGAATAGTATTCTTTTTCAGGCAGACCAGCGAGTTACTCTTCAGTTTAACACGTAGGCTTTCGCGACCAATATCATCCATAAGATATTTTTGGGGGGTTAGATCGCGTAAATATATAAATGTGTCGTTAAAACCCGCCACCACCCGACACAGCTAACTAGTAAGGGTTGTCACGTAAGCAGAACATGCCAATTCGTCACTAGTACAGCACACCGGTGTGTTGGAGAGCCAAGCCACAACAATTACAATGTGAGTGCGACGTTTCAGTGAATGCTAAAACCAAATCAAATAACACAAGCATTGAAACTGTGCAAGTAATTAAAACGATCAAAATACCGTACATTGCGGGAGTAACTGATAAACTAGCCAGATGTTTGGAAAAACAAAACATCCTAGTCAGATTTGGCACGGTACATAAAATACAGAAATTAATATCAGGTACAAATTATGTATTATCGAAGCTATCAACAGAAGGTGTGTACAGGATTAAATACACGTGTGGTAAATGTTATGTTGGGCAAACAGGACGAATGATCAGCACGAGACTAAAATAACATCAGAGAAATATTAAATTCTCCCAAATTCAACTGTCAGCAGTAGCAGAACACGCGTGCCAACTAGGACACTCAAAACTAGCTACTACTGGCCAAGACTAATTAGCTAATCTATGGAAATTGAAAGAAATAAAAATAACTTTACCCGTTCGGATAGCTACCACCTTAGTGCTGCGTGGAAGCGAATCATCAAATAATACATTATTTAAATGCGTGCCTACAAAGGGCAGTGTACTTCAATAGGGATTACCGTTGGTACGGCTATTTTAATAAACACAATAGACAGGAAGGACAAGTTCAAAGACTTGCATAATGCATCATGTACGTTGCCACAGTAACACCCCCCCTCCCCCCACGTGGTGCAAGAGCGCAGAAGCGTGGTCACCACATCTACGCCTCCTCTATATAAGGAACGAAACAGGAGGACTTCTCCACAAATCTGGCTGTCGCCTGATGAAGCTAGTTGTAATTACTGGCGAAACGTCATACTCAGATTGTAAATGTTGTGGATTTGCTCACTAACACACCGGTGTGCTGTACTAGTGACGACTTGGGCACGTTCTGTTTACGTGACAACCCTTACTAGTTGGTTGTGTCGGGTGGTGGCGGGTTTTAACGACACATTTATATATTTACGCGATCTAACCCAAAAAAAAACCTCAATTATAGAGTTACTTTTCATTATTGAGTTAAACTTTCCCAGAAGTGACCCCGTTTTCCCTCTGTGTTGCATCATTGCGATCCCCATCTGCCTTTAGCAATTACCATGTATTTACACCTGTTACGTTGTGTTTTCACATCAATAGTTTTAATGGCACAATGTCCTGAACTTAACGGCAGCAGAAATAACCAAGAGAGAAAAGTTATCCGAAACACATGTGAACATTTCTCCATTTAAGTAAGTATTTATTTCGTCATGCATGTCACTTTCACTCAACATTCTGTTAAAGGCTGTATGGGGGAATCTCTGTCTTTGGTGTGTGTGTGTGTTTGTATATACAATGGTATGTAGTATGTGCACATGGTCTATATGGATCTAATTTTAAAAAAATGTTAGCCCTTTGTCAATTCATTGTTGCATGGAGGCCTCTGTACACTTCATAAGTCAGAGGGATTTTCAATAGTAATAATAATACGTCACCACGCTGGCGATCGTCCACTGGTAAAGTGGCGGGGGGGGGGGCGGGGGGGTCTCAGGACTAGTTGATGTTAACCATGGCCAGGAATTCCAACTCAGGTCACCGAATTCCAAGACCGGTTCACTCACCACTGCGCCACCACTCCCTCGTGTCCTGCCGTGTATTTGTAGAGATTTGTGGGCGACGTGTACACAAGAGGCGGAGGTGGCTTAACGGAGGATTTCATCCAGCAGTGGATTGACCACAGCTGATGATGATGATGATGAACTGCTTGTCGTGTTTAGTCTATCGTCCTTCCCCCGCACCTCCGGTTATACCAAAGTTTTGCTACGTACGGTGCGACAGAAGTTTAACATGACGATTATGACGTGTGACACAGACCGCCTTTTCATTGCACTTGTTTTTCCTACAGCTCTTTCAGTTGCCTGCGAATGCGATGGCCCTGGCTTCCAGAGCTGTTCTCGTTGCACCACCGTCAGCAGAAAAAGGCTGTCAGCGATCCATTACGTTGCGAACTTTCCCATTGCAGGGAAGAGCTCGCGATTTTAAATGAAAGCCAAATGTATGAAACAAATAAATCATTTATGGACATATGCTTGCAGCAGATAAAACACAATTAAGTGGGTGTGCTGCGCTCTTTACGTCTTAACGCATCACAAATAGTAACATCCAGCGCCGGTGTATTGTACATTGCTGCAGTGTTTTCATTAACCGCTCCCGCATGCATCACATGGGGGCATGGCAACATAAAACGCAATTTAAATGTACAGTAAAAGCAACGTGGTGGAATAAATAACACGACGTGAGAGTCGTGAATCATGACAACAGGCCACGTGACTCTCTCATGCGAGTGCACGAGCACTGTGGGTCCCCGGGTTACCCCCCCAACGTGTGTAGATATGACTAAGAGGGACCCCCCCCCCCCAACGTGTGTAGATATGGCTAAGAGGGACCCCCCCCACCCCAACGTGTGTAGATATGACTAAGAGGGACCCCCCCCCAACGTGTGTAGATATGGCTAAGAGGGACCCCCCCCCCAACGTGTGTAGATATGACTAAGAGGGACCCCCCCCCCCAACGTGTGTAGATATGGCTAAGAGGGACCCCCCCCCCAACGTGTGTAGATATGACTAAGAGGGACCCCCCCAACGTGTGTAGATATGACTAAGAGGGACCCCCCCCCCAAGTGTGTAGATATGACTAAGAGGGACCCCCCCCAACGTGTGTAGATATGACTAAGAGGGACCCCCCCCCCCAACGTGTGTAGATATGACTAAGAGGGACCCCCCCCCCCCCAACGTGTGTAGATATGACTAAGAGGGACCCCCCCCCCAACGTGTGTAGATATGTCTAAGAGGGACCCCCCCCCCCAACGTGTGTAGATATGGCTAAGAGGGACCCCCCCAACGTGTGTAGATATGACTAAGAGGGACCCCCCCCCAAGTGTGTAGATATGACTAAGAGGGACCACCCCCCAACGTGTGTAGATATGACTAAGAGGGACCCCCCCCCCCCCCAACGTGTGTAGATATGACTAAGAGGGACCCCCCCCCCAACGTGTGTAGATATGACTAAGAGGGACCCCCCCAACGTGTGTAGATATGACTAAGAGGGACCCCCCCAACGTGTATAAATATGGCTAAGAGGGACCCCCCCCCCAACGTGTGTAGAAATGACTAAGAGGGACCCCCCCAACGTGTATAAATATGGCTAAGAGGGACCCCCCCCCCCAACGTGTGTAGATATGACTACGCCGTGAACGTACAAACTCTGGGCTAAGTATCGGATCCGTAAACGGCATCGAGTTGACGTCATTGACGTTCGGGAGAACGTCGCTTATCCGTGACGACGTTGAGAGGGGGGAGGGGTGGAGAACGTCATCTGTTATTGGATCCTTAACACCTGTAGCTGCTCACCCCGAGATCTCAATGTCCTGATAGTGGCGTTGTCTTTGTACGGTTCGCCTGTTGCTGTCCTCTGGTCTAACACTGTTTGAGACTTGGCTCTATAGAAAGATGTCTCTGGTGTGAACCAATCCGTTTCCAAGAAATTGTATACACTACCAGAGCATAATAATAGGGTTTTATCCCTTTTTTTCTGGCGTCATCTGGTCGAGCACCAATTGGGTCGAGGCTCAAAAGAAAGCCGTCCCTTGGTGTGGACCAATCAGTTTCAAGGACAATGCATATATTATCATAGTATGTTTTTAGTTTGCATTTTGACTGCAGGTATTGTGGTTAATGCAGACAGTTTTGTTGCCAGAAAAAAAGGAGAAAAAAACCCTATTATTACATTTTGGTACTGGCAAAGGAGGTCTAATGATGTAGATACTACCAGAGCATGTTTTCGGCTTGCATGTTCACCACATGGATATGTGGTTAATGCTGACATGATTCCTTACAAAAAGGTTTCTGTTCGGTGTCTTAACATCTCAATACAACTGTATTTTTGCCGGAAAGCTTGAAACCTTTTTCTTATATTTTGATGCTGGTATGGGAGGTCCCACAATGGATCCTGTCTGTAATCTACCAAGGGACCAACCGGGGAACCATTCGTGAGTACGATGTAAGATCCGCAGTGCCACTGCGTCCCTGCCTCTGCTCTTGGGGGGGGGGGGGGAAGGGGACGCGGTGGCTCTTACATACATTTCTTCCGTGCCTCCCCGCAGTAGTGCCGCTTGCGTCCATCCCCGCCGTCGTCGCCGGCGTCGCGAGGTCCTCCTCCTGCTCGTCGCCTCCCGGTCGCCGACATTCGCCGCTCGGCCGCGCGCCGGTAGAGGACGTGCGGAGGCGCGGCCGCCGCTGCCGCCGGCCGGCTGATGTTGTGCTTGCGGGCCAGGTGGTCGGGCAGCGGAGATATGAAATATTCCCCCGTCGATGTGCGTATCAATCCGGACTGCGAAAACAGGTCGATCGGGGGCGGGGTGGGGGGGGGGGGGTGTGGAGGTGGGTTCGGGGGGGGGGGGGACACTTCAGCGAGTGTCGTCATCGACATCGTTTGGTCGTCGTCGTGACGACATCCGCCGCCGTCGTCGTGGCGACGATCGCCGCCGTCGTCGTGGCGACGATCGCCGCCGTCGTCGTGACGACGATCGCCGCCGTCGTCGTGGTGACGATCGCCGCCGTCGTTGTGACGACATCCGCCATCGTTGTGACGACATCCGCCATCGTTGTGACGACATCCGCCATCGTTGTGACGACATCCGCCACCGTCGTCGTGGTGACGATCACCGCCGTCGTCGTGACAATCGCCGCCGCCGCCGTCGCCATCGTCGCTACCGTCTTGACCGTCGTCGGTGCTGTCGCCGTCATCGTACTCAACGGATTTGCCAACAGAATATTCTTACGAGAATCGCTTTTGCCCGTGCTGGCAGTAAAAAAAAAACAGAAGATGTTCACACACCAAACAGAAACCTTTTTGCAAGGAATCATGTCTGCATGAACCACGCATGCTTGTGGTGAGCATGCAAACAAAAAAAACTGATCTTGACACCTGTTTAATTCATCATACAGGTGCTTCTGGGTTAGATCGCGTAAATATATAAATGTGTCGTTAAACCCACCACCACCCGACACAGCCAATTAGCAAGGTGGTGGTGGTTTTCACGACACATTTATATATTTACGCGATCTAACCCAAACAAATCTGTGTTATGGATGATATTGGTCGCTAAAACCTACGCGTTAAACCTGTTTTATTGTCAGAAAGGGTCAAATCTATTCTTATACTTTGATACTGGCAAAAGAGCTCCCATGTCAGACTATCTTGAATTGGCTTTGTCATTATCATCAACGTCATTACCATGACTATAATTATCAACATCGGTCACCAGCACCACTGTCATCGGTAATGCCCACCGCCGCCGTAACTGTAATTTTTGTTTCACCAATATCATTATATTCGTTGACAACAAACTGTCTTGTAGCAATTTGTCCAGAGAAAAACCAAAATCACACTATCACGAGGACACTGCGTCCTAACACTCATTCATTAAAGAGATAATGTTGCTAAATGGGAACTGTGAAGTAATTATCCCAAATAAATGTTGATATTGCTCCAGCAAACAATAAACAATGCTTGGAAATGCAATCATCTTCATAATCATAGCAGGCTAGCAGACGATGCAAGTGGTTTCATTAAGTGTGTATAGAAATTATCATAAAACAAATCACGTGATTAATTCCTTGACCCTTGGTAACTACAACAGTCGCCTAGATAAATTTAAAGCAATTTGCCAATTATATTCCGATTTTGACCAACACCTTGAGCAAATTAACTCTTATCCACTTGTGTTTTTTTTTTCCCCCCCAACTCGATTTACTTCATCCCACCTAGAATCGTAAATAAAACAACCCCAACCAGCACAGACCGTTTGCTCGAGCACACATTTCAAATGAATACCATTGCACACAACTTCATGAAATTTAGGGAGACATTCATCACGGTGTTGCTCATGCCCCCCCCCCCCCCACCGCGCCCCTCCAATTTCACCATCAACAAGATCTGGGGTCCCAGCACTCCCCCTGCACCTCCAATAAGCACGGTTGGTTCCATACGGTGCGAATGAAGTTCAACACACTTACGTACATAATAACGCACAGAAGCACATTTGCATCACAGGGGGAAGTCGCTTTTCTTTTTTTTTGTTACACCCAGCCATAATCACTCACGATGTAATCAAAGCCACGTGTGGTTCCGTGGTAACATTGGCCAAGAATCACGCATTGCACATCCACAGCATAAATGCATTAACATTGTTGCTCCATGCTCTGGAAGAGGTTATAAAACTTACAACTGGGGCAAAGTCAATTCTCCACAACTGGAATTTCTCAGGATTGCAGTGAGACTTTTGGCCATCATGCTTTTATATATAACATGTATATATGTATATATATATACTGTATACAGATTATGTTGACATGTACCCCTGTGGGATGACTTCATTCTTGTTATATATTCTTATTTTTCTTCATCGCGTTTGCCTTTTTAAAATACAGCTGGCATACATTTCTGGGTTGAACTTTGCACTGATGCGTCAATTAAGTTGAGACATTTGTGGCTGAGGCTTGTGTTGGAACGTATATTAATCATTGTTAGTGGGCCATATATTTTGTCGGGGAAAAAAACAAGTCGTAAAAAAACATTGATACGATTCTGCAAAATCACCTGTCTGTATATATGTTACTTATGAATTTACAAAAGTGCTGAGCACGTTTTTACGGCATTAAGTGCAACTTTAAGTACTTTATGGATTTTTTTTAACCTCGCTCTTTGCTGAGAAGCCCCATATTCATCTGAAGGCAACATTCTTTTGTACGAAACGGAATCTTTCCAACATATTTGTCTTTTTCCCCAATCGCATTCTAAGCTGTGTTATTGGCATCATGTCATGAGGCAAAACAAAATAAAACCTCGTCTTTGTTTTTATTTTCCCTGCGCTGATTTTCTCTGCATGTGCACCTTTCGCAAGCTCTGAAAGTAATCTCTGGTCATGTTGAAATTAACCAGGTTTACCCCAGAAGAGTCAATACATTAGTCAATACATTAATAATCTTTCGTGACACAGCAGGAGAACTGCTGACATCAGCAGCTCTCCTGCTGTGTTTGTTTCACCTGATGACGGTTGCTTGTGTTGCGATCGAAACGTCGTGATTCTATAAATTTTCTATCTACGTGACTTCACCGAAAGAACCAAAGAGTACTCATTTAAATCTCAGGCTCAAAGTGAGTGGACGTCTACAGTAGCTGCCAGGCACACAGACACTTCACTATTAATCACCCCTGACTTGAATACTACCGTTAATGGGGCTGACAAAATCCTGATGCTCAACGGGGGGGGGAGAAAAAGCCCCGTCGATGATAATATCACGTTAGTCTGTCAATTTCGCTGTCAAATTCCTCACGTCATATTAAACGTAGATATGTGTATCTGGAGTAAATCCATTCATCTGCTTGGCACAACAATATAATTTGACCTGTCCCAGCTGGAATGGCTATATGACTCATCTGGATAAAGAGGCGTCAACGAAGCGAGGTTCATTTTTTCCACGATAAATCCTCCGTTAACGCTAAAACAATTACTCCTGTACAAAGCACTTATTTGGTCTAAACTGGAATCCTGTTGCAATGTCTGTGGTGGAGCACACAGTTCCTACCTCGCTCGCTCAACAGCGGTGAGTTGCTTTCTCATCACTCATCTATAGCTATGACCAAGACTATATGGTTCCCCTCATTGGCTATGCAACTCCGATTAGCACGGTTGGCTCAGTACGTACGGTGCGAAAGAAGTCCAACATACATGCATACATACACGACGTTCGGTAACAACCACACACCGAGTTCACCTACCACACTGCAGGTCACGACAATTCTACGTCGGTTTTATCCATCAGCAGTTGTGTCGCTAAAAATATGCGTCCCGTATAAATAATACGGCATCTTCCCAGGCTGGGTCTGTGGTGGCTGGATATTATACTTGGAGGTGAACCTACTGCTGCTGATATTAACTGCATCACGAATCAGCAGTAGCAAAATTATTCTCTCATTGTCTGATAGATTATTTCCGTTATTCGCATTCACCTGCGGATTAACAGACGCCACCCAAGCGTGGTGCCAAGTCTTTCCGTTATCCGTGCTGATCCGTGGATTAAGAGGGACCGTCTCCAAGAAACTCAGAATTCTTCCTAATTATGTTAGTTTTTTTATATATATGGATAACAGGAGTGTCTTGGATGTGGTGGATAAGCCATCTCCTATTATACTTGTTTATACGCAGATGTCAGTGTAAATAACTGGGAGAAATTCAGCAAATTACAGGATCGGTTAATAGTTGCTAAGAAGCGCTGCTCTAAAATAAAGTCATGTAAAAGTGTCTTGCTCAGCGACGAATGAGAACCAGCCTAAACAAAAATGTCTCATGATGTCAAATCATCAGCCCGCCTACACGCTAGCAACTCTGTCTGAATGCTGATAATCTAATTATATAAATGTGTGTATATAGCACCAATAGAAGGGATGCCCTTTCAACAGATCAAGTCCTCAAAGTCAAACATAAACAAAACCCTGTGACATCATGACACGGTATCATAAAATACAGGATATGTATTTATCTTACAATTGATTTGTTTCAAAGATATTTACGTGGGAAAGATCTGCTGAGTTAAAAGATGAATGCATCTTTTAAAATACAACTTGTGCCCTACTCCCAGTGAAGAATGATGGATTTTTTTGCAACTAGCTTAAGAGAAAAAAATACAGAGCTGACAGTGAAGTCTCCTAAAAATACAGGATGAATACATATTTCAGCATATTTAACTTTGTGTGTGTGTCTGCTGGGAGAGACTGTTGACACAACTAGATCTCATCTAGAATACTTCTACAGCAACTACTTTGATCTTTTTTTAGAATTGATCATTTAGGTAGGACTCATATGACAGGAACTCAGAAATTACTATATAGTATTATAATGCTCAAGATACATGCATCAAATAACATGTATTAGAATACCACATTTCCATTTGATATATTTACATAACTACATATTGTGTTTATCGCAATGTCAATCAAATATTTTGATTCGTGAATCCAATCACAAATCAAATGGTTTTGAGAATGTGTCTCAATCATAACGATAACAGAGCCCCTTATTATTTATCCAGGAACACTCCAATGAATCGAAGAACCATTTTACAGGAGTGTCCTGGATTGGGATGTTTTTTGCCAATTGCATTAACGATTGTAGGGCAAGTGGATGGAAACCAGAGTACATGGAGAAAACCCACGAACGCATACACGGGGATAACACTCCACACGTTTGGATTCAATAATCCACTGCTGTACTGCCATCTACCGAGCACCTCACAGCTCGACCTCACCATTTCACATTCCCTGTCAGT